CATTTAAGAGTAATATCCTTAAAATAATCGGTGAAAATTCGGTGTGTCTCATCGTAAAAATCAAAAATTTCGAGGTACAAATGATATGAAGTTTTTGGTCCACATCGTTACAACTTTACTTAAAAATCAAAGAAGGGTTTAGGATGCTATTAAACTTATGTATTATTATTATGCGAATGACCTGAAATAATGATTCAGGTGATATCGATATTTGACATTATGGTTACTCAAATGAACAAATGTTAATATTGCACATTATGTAATACAAAATTCTGTATGGTTGGTATTATTAGAAATTTCATTTCAAATGTTTCAAATTAAAAAATAAAATAAATCAATGCGTTTAGAAAATCAATGTGTGAATTTTGAATTTTTTTAATGAATGCTATAACTTTTAATATAAAGAAAAATGCACTTGAATTAATAAAATCTTTGCCTATCGGTAAAAATCTCAGATTGTCCTTGCATAACTTCTGTATGCAATACTTCTAAAGATAGACGCCGTCTTTTGTTTCTTTTCTGAGAATTCTCTTTTAGTAATTCATTCCTAAAATAGAACAATACAAATAATATATATGTCTGGAAGAACTTTTAGGAAAACTTGCCATTTCTAAAATCAGAAAATAGTAATAACGAATGTCGAAGATCAGATAATATTTTGATCATTTGCAAAATGACGAATGCTATGATATGTTATTATTATGCATCCTTTAAATGTTTTCTAATATAAATAGTCAAATGACCAGGTAAATTATAGTTTAATGTTGATGTTAAACGAATAGCAAAAAAGCATTTATTCGTATAGTCAAAATTTTTTTAGTTTGATTCTGTACCTGGAATCGAATATATTATTGTCTTAAAAAAAGTTTCTTAAACTTTTGGACTATGTGATCGCTGTGGTATAACTGAAGCCAAGATACTTGTGCAACCACACTTTGTGATCATTTAATAAAATAGTTGCCACAACATAACTTATTGACGGAGTTTAACAATGATAAAAATTGAGAAATTATTAATGATATTTATCAGATAGATCTTTTAGAAATAGTATTTGTTCACGATTAATTTACGGTTGAAGTTCTAAATTCGATTAAAATTTGGTACTTAGGAATAAAAAGTAAATAAAGTCTTTGATTTGTTATTTGACATTATGAGTTATTACATTTAAGGAATTTTATCACGAGAAAATACTATTGTTGTTTGATAGTATGCCTGTACAAATAATACTTATTTTAAAAAAATTAAATTCAAGTGGCTACAATTTGTGACATGTTATACTTGGAAAATCAATTAATTTAATGTAACAATATAAAAGATTTTCCGATATTTTCGTATCATCAAATAATTTTCACGAAAGTAGCAAAAAATCGTAAAACTCACATGTTTCGTTACAATAATCATTTTATCCGAATCTAATACTTCGGATTTGTGTTCATGTGCATTTAATGTAATACCACTTGTTATATAACTTTCAAATAATAACTTGCTATATATACGGAATTTTTTTACAGATACATATATACATATATCCATTATTTCTTCTTATCGTTCGTCATGAAGCCTATCAAATGTTTTACAACTTGAAGTCTTTGTAGGGTCAGTAAATATTTGCAATGGTTTGTAATCTTCTGCGCCAAAAAGAATTTGTAATTTATGTATTTTATGCGGTACGCTTGGACTTGATAACTTATAACTTCCCAGTTTTAAAGCACGTTGATATATCTCTTTTTTCATTAGTTGGTAAATTAACACGCAATAAAGGATTACGCGTCTCTCATTATATGCAAATAAAATGCAAATATTCATTTTTCCCTTGAAATACTAATACTAACGCAAAAATGAGTTATATAAAGGGTACTCATTCCATGCCTTTTTTTAAAAAATAAACTTTACATTCATATATACGATTATGCCCCACTACAGACAGTCTCAAGATTATCAAAAAAGATACCTCGAGAGAAAAATTAGAAGGTATCGAGCTAGAAACGGCAACATGATCGGAGGAGCACCAAATCCCTTCCCTCGACCTCGACGCAATGCAGTTATTAACAACTCATTTGCAAACCAATTGTTTAATGGATACCGTCATTTCCCCTAATCCAAACATTCTTTGCATGGCGTCATTCTTTGCATGGCATCGTAATTAATTGTTTGGCTTAAAATCTTTTTTCTTTAAAAAAAAAACGCGTACTTTTATTTTTACATTATATTATTTACTTCGTATTTTTAACTATATCGTTGCAAATTAACGCACACTTATATCTTTTTTTTCGTTTAAATTTTAAAATTCATTTCATTGTCATTTATCAATTATAAACGTTTGTAAGAATTTCTTCTCGTATATATCGAACCGACACGTGCTACACAAATTAAATATCGTCAGTATTAAAAACATTACAATAACGATAATAATTTTTTTTTTTCGGAGAATGGATATTTATTTATTCGATTTGAATTGGATGAGCGTATTTCAATAATTCTTCTGTTCGTACCGATCCTCGCATAAATTAATTTTTTTTAAAAAAATAATATACTTTTATAATTTCTAAAACAATATGTAATTTTTTTTTTCTTTTTTTGTCCCCTCGTTTTTTTTTTCGATTTAGACAGTTAGAAATTATTCTCTATATGATTTTAAAATTTTTATGGAAACTTCAATATTCATTATGCTTATTAAAAAATAAAATAAAATTTTAATTTTAAAATATTATGTAATGATCGTTCGATCATTGTTCTAAAGAATATATTTTGTTTTGCGGCTTTTCGTATGCAGGGATAACCCCCTTTTCAATGAATAATATTTGAGCGTTACACATATAGTTAATTTATAAATTCAAAAAAAATAAATGCCAGTGCTTTTTTATTAACTTCATTGAACGCAGTAAATGTTATGATTTTCCTCAATTATTAAATGTATAATGTATTACAAAATAAATTGGACATCCACGTAACATTCTTACATTCTTACATTCTTATTTTGTGCATAAAGATTTTCAGTATAATTAAAAGTTTATGATATTCACATGTCTATAATATATTACTTGCCTTATAAAATGAATTTTGGTAAAGTTTAATATAATCACGAGACTCAGCAAAGGTTTTATGAAAAGTAATTAAGGCCAAGTAAAAATTTCCGTTTATACGCTCACGTCATAAAAAAATATATATATATATATTTCTACTCGTTATATCCCATGAAATCAAGCTATAAATTATAATTTTTTTTTTCACGCAATTTCTGAAGAAATTAGCTCTTTTATTTCATAATCAATCAATCATTATGTTTTACAATTTTTATGAATTATTAATTAATTAAATGAAAATATTATTCACTCCGAATTTACATTCCTAGCATTATTATATTTAAATAGGCATTAATAATTATTTAATATTATAAAAGATTTTCTTTTCTTTAAGATTTAATATAAGTATATTTGACAATGATATACAGTATTGTCATTCTGTACTTACCATAAAAGATGGAAAATTTCGTTACTCGACATCGGAATTAATTACCGAAAAAATTTATTTGAATATTCATTTCTGCTGTACAAATAATAGTACTATGATTGTGTCCTATAATGATCAATATTTATTTATTTGGTGGTAAATTATTATCACCTGAAAGAAACAAATACACGATAAAACTATATCATTATAGCATGTATGACATACTTATTCAAATAAAAGCAGGAATCCACCAGTCCTCAATCAAGTTTTGTTTCACCAGTAAACGGATATACTCTAACGGATTACAATCATATATAAGAATTGAATCTACGCAATCGGTATCGAAAAGGTTATGACTTTACATCTACAACCTAAAATCTTAATCATAATTTTAATATGAAACGAGGTGCGAGCTTTTCCAGTATAAATTTCCAGAAGGGTTACTTCACTGCAACAATGGAAAGACGCATTGTCTTTCATTTCAAATCAAATAGTATTCATTTCCAAAAAAAAAAACTCAATTATAATAACTTCATTTTTATTTGCCTCATCGAAGGACAAGCAATAATTAAGTTATTATAACGAATTCGAAATATTATATTTCTAAAAATTCTTCAAATAAATTCTTCATACTAAAGAGGTTAACTAATACATGAATACGAAATAATGAAACTTGACTTTCTAACTTCTAAGTGTTAAAATCCTTGCTCAAGCAATTGTTCACTCCGATCATCAAAATAAAATAGTAATCTTACATATTAAATGCTCAGTTTATTTCTCTGCACCGTATATACGTTAAAATACGAGCCTGATGTGGACGGATTGACCTTCTTAGTCCAATCAGAGAAAATCCTACATCATTTATTAAAAAGACAGATTTCGCTTGACCATTTACAAGCATTACACTCCGAAATTTACGTTACATTTATGGAATGTCGGACTGGACAGAAATTTAACGTTGAGAATTAAGTTGTTTGACATTTAACTGATTTAAGATTAACTGTGAAATTCAAATGATTTGACTTCCGGTCAAATCCTTTGTAATAAATACTGTTAATCAGTTTAACTTTACAGTCAACCCCTTTGCCAATACTAGTATCAAACAGTTTGACGAAGTGGAAATAATTTTCCATATTTAGTTAAAATTCAAAATGGTGTAAATTTAAGTAATTCTATAAAAGAAATTCTCTTTTTTGGAAGTCCAAAAAGGAAGTATGTTTCCTTTTTAGGAAAATTATTTTTAAAATTCAAAAGGTTTGCGTTTAATGATAAACACTTTGCATTTAATGCCAAATGCTTTGGATATTTAACGCCAATATGCTTTGTACTTCAAATTCAAACAATATGTGTTTAATGTCAAACAATATGTTAAACTTCTGTCCAGCCACAAATGATCGGCAGATTTTGGCCTAAAATAAGCAACTTTTCGGAACCTTGTGCATTTTTTTGGATATTTAGTCTAACGTTACATTTAATTATATTATAATATCCAGAGTTTCAGAGTTTCTAGTTTAAATATTCTAGTTTTAAATTGACATGGATAAAGCCTCACGGACAGAAAAAAAGTGTTCTGAGTGTGACAATCCTAGTAAGGGCAAGTCTAATCTTTGTCTGATTTGCACCACACGTCACATCCAAGTGAAAATAGATGAATTTATCAAATACACTCAAACATCAGCTCATAAAGTGGAACAGGCGGTCCAATGGGTTGATTGGAAAGAACTCTCTGATATTGAGAAGATTGGTGAGGGTGGTTTCGGTTCGGTATATTCATCTTGCTGGTCAAAAGATATTAGTTTTATGAGAAAAAAGGTGGGGAAAAAAAAGAGAAGAAGAGTTATAAAAAGCGAAAGAGAAATTATTGCTTTAAAAACAATTGGTAGCCCAGATTTATCGATGGATAATTTCCTGAAAGAGGTAATTTATCATTTTTTTTGCCAATCTTAATTTGAAATATTATAATAACGTTCATACATATTAGGCAGAAGCCTTATTTGATTGTTATAACCAAGAGAACAGCGGTTTCTGCATTAAGGGCCTCACACAAGACCCCATTTCCATGCAATACTATATCGTAACTGAATACGCAGAAAATGGTGATTTACGTAAATATTTGCATGTGAACCCCAATCTTTCTTGGGAAAATCGATTGTATATAGTGTGGGATATTAGTTTGGATTTAGAACGTATTCACAAAGCTGGCCTCATTCATCGTGACATTCATGCTGGGAATATCTTGCACTCGGGAAAATTCGTTCACCTTGAAGAGGGGAAAGAAGTACATGAGGGAGTGGCATACATTTCGGATTTTGGTTATTCAATGGCAGCTAGTTATCCCCACAACAATAAGGAAAATATCTACGGTGTCATGCCTTACATCGCTCCAGAAGTCTTTAATGGAATGGGCTATTCAATGAAATCAGACATATATAGCATTGGTATTATCATGTGGGAGCTTGCTAGTGGAAAACAACCGTTTGCGAATATCTCTCATGATGCTGACCTTGTACTAAAAATCTATGATGGATTACGCCCAGAGCCAACTCCAAACGCGCCGCTTTTCTACCTAGAATTAATGCAAAGTTGTTGGCATAAAGATCCATCTAAGAGACCAAAAGCAGAAGAAATCGGAGATATGATCGAAAAACAGATGGAAATTGGTTTAGATAAAGAAAAAATGCAATTTATTGAAGCAGAAGAAAAACAAAAAACTGCTAGTAACAAAATTGATCCCAATGCTATTTACACAAGTAGATTAATACCTACTATTACTTCATTATTATCTAAACGAAATTCCTTTTAAGTAAAACTGATAATAACTCATTACAATACTTAGACTTTTGTAATTGCTGAATTGAGTCAGTTTAAAATTGAAGAAATGATTATTATATTTTCACTAATTAGATTCTTATGCATTTATATATTTTTTTCGTCTAACATGATGCATTACCGCCATTTTAAAATGGTATATCTTGTCATAAAATATAAATTAAAGTACACTAGGTGTCACAGCATTTTGAAATGGTAGTAATTAATCGAACAAATCCTTTTTATTAATATTATAATAATTAAAATTGTATTGTTTGTAATTTCTTGAATTCACAATAATTTAATAAAGCGATTCAAGTTAGGAAAATTTCATACCGCTTGGGATTATAGAGAAAATTTCTAGCTCTCTTTACATCTTTATATTTTTGTATATCGAAGTTAGAGTTCTTAATATAATCAAGTATATATCGATCATTGATACGATTATAAAAATACGATTTAATAATATTTACTGTAGGTACAGTATCATATTAACTTTTCATTGTTTTGTCTATTTTATAGTTTTATATTAGTACCATAATTACAAAATTTTTATATTAACAATTTTTATACCAATAGGAACGAATAAATAAGGGCATTGCTAAATCTCATCGCAGGTGATTTTCACCGCACCAGCATTAGCAAATATTAATGGGCGGAGTTTCATGACATTTTTAATTCTGCCCAAAATTCTACCCTAATTCTGGTAAGGTGACAATCACCAGCGGTGATATTTAGCAATACTCAATAAATAAATATACGTTGTTTGCGAAAAACACGGTCGATTATTATTATTTTTATTTTTAATGAAAAGTTATCGTTATTGCAAATTTTCTTAAAGGCATCAATATTGAACTATACATAACATATTGTATTACACATTGAAGGTAAATTATATAACGTCTGTATAACCTATAAGATTATAATTTAAGGCTAACCGTCATAGAAGGCCATTCTTCTCCGATACCTAGTACTTCCTTTAAAGAAAGAAGCAATAGCATGATCGATTAAGTAATCGATCAGGTCATTATAATCAATTTTATGCGTGATCTTTCAATCAATTGATCACGATTTTTGATTAAATTCCTTATTATATTAAATATAAGCTTCGATGAAAAATTTTGTAGAAACTTCTACCGAGCTTATTTTTTACACTTTATATGACTAAAATCCAAAATAAAGACGGATTAGCTTAACCCTAACCCTAAAGCAGATAGATAGTTCACATTGCTAAATTATTTAAAAAAACTTACATTCACAGACTTTTCTAAATGACAGTACGAAAGAAATATTAGCAAACATATATGTTCAGTTCTTTCGGAATGTCTTTCAATTCACAATATTCCAAAGTGAATATGAAATACTTGTAACACGTGATTTATGATACACAAATTCATAATAAGCAACGGTTTTCGTTTACCTAATTTTGGCATTAAAGAGAAAATTTTTTGTATTACATCATTATTAAATATTTAATTAAATTAACTATGAAAACCAAATTTACATTTAAAGTTTGTTTATAATTTAAAAAAAGTTTATTGGTGCATTTTGAAAAATTTGTTAATCATCGATTTCGTACAAAAACTTCGGAATTAGAATTCTTAAAATTTTCTATTATAATTTCTTTAGCTGGAAGTTCGTGTATTATAACAAATTCGATACTAATTATCGGGAAATACCGAATATTTGTTTGCTTTCATAAGTATAAATCACATGTTATCATTTTCGTTTAAATCTTATCAATAGTCGTACATTAAATATTTCAACTTTAATTGGCCGATAAATATTTCTTTTTTTCCCCCGCATTTTTTTTTTATAAATAAATAACAGATTATCGTTTATCGTACAGTATATTAAAATGTTCCACTATCAAAAGGATAACAATGTAATAATGACGAAATATTGAGAAGAATCGTAAACTACAACTAATTATTCATATTGTTTAAAGGACTAGAATTAATAAACGAAATTTTATGCGACAGATAACTTTTATTTAAATATCAATAAAACAAAAGTTATTGTAAAATTTAAGCTTATATAATGTTGTTTATTGTTTTACCAATTAGTTAATTAAAATGCATGAGATGTATTGTTAAAATGCGTCAAATTTTCGCTAAAACATTTTAAGTTTCCCGGTATGAATTCGTGATCATTATTCATTATTATTGGTACAAATTTGGTTGCGATCATCTCGTGCGACTAAATCTTATCGGTTTTTGCCGTGAAATATCGGAGAAATCCGGTTGACAGATGTGACCTGTCACGACATTATTCTTTTTTTAAAATAAAATAAATTTAGATAATTTAAAAATTTGTTATTTTTATTAATCTTGACCCCTAAATATATGTACTAATATGTGAGCCTAAAGTGTAGTTTGACAAAAAAGGAAAAAATGTGGCCTCACATGTCATATTGAATGTTACACGTGAGGAAGAACAATCATTAAAATTTTTAAAAACTTCGAATCAGTGAATATTAACAAAATTTTTAATTACCTGCAGAAATTATTATAAATGAATCTTGTTCTCCCATGGTAAACATCGCTATATTTAGTATGTTCTCCCATGGTAAACATCTCTATATTTAGTATATCTTCGATATTAACCTGTAAATTGACAAATTGATAACACGTTGAATATTTTGATTTTTTAATTTGCAGAAATTTAATTATTTTTCACCTTTAAAATAAGGTATCTTTTCGCGCAGTATCGGGTATTTATAAAGGTTCATTATTTCTCACTTCTTTTTTTTTCAAAAAAAAAAAAAATATTACAATCTTATATCAATATATGAAAATGTCTCAATACAGAAGATCTCGAGCTTATCAAAAAAGATATCAAAGGAGGCGAATTCTGTATCAAATCCGTAATAATAATGAAACATTAAGAAGACTCATAAATCTTCCTCAACAAAATACAGTTGCTAATTCATTTGCAAGTCAATTTTTTAATGGATCCCCATTTTACTAAACTAAACACTTTTATTAACAATATAACTATGTATTTACAGTACAATATATTGAACCTTTATATCCACGGAATTTAACGCCATATTTATGGCTTACATTCGAATCTTGGTTACGCTGTACAAATATCCTACCTTTTCGTTTATAATTCGCTTCACATTATCATTACTTATAGAATAATTCTATTTAACACATTTTGCATAAATATTTCCAATCGGTGAATTTATTTCCACTTTTTATCGAAAATTTAATTTTTCTCGTATCGACTGCCTCATCTGCGTAAATTCATATAATAATATTAAGCTTTTTCCCTGGATCGATGTTTTAAGACAATTTTTACTTAATAATTAGTTTTCTAAGTCTTAGAAGATCTAATGTTTTAGATATATTTTTTACTTTAATTTTTATAACTCATCATATGTAGAGTATCACAAACCGAAATTCAATTAAGTAGATCGAATTGGGATCACCATTTATAAGATTTTTTATCATAACATGAAACAACAATTGAAACATGAACTCTGTTCCATATCAATACTAAAGCCTAATAAATTAATTAAGATTTTTCATAAATTGGTATTTTGGAAATGATAATATCGATATTATTTACTACTGAATTAATTTATTAAATAACAACCATTTTAACGAATGCTAAAATAAATCACACTCCATCCAATAACTGACGGTCATTAGGAATACTGCGGGGACCAATAGGAATTAATGCTACTAATACCTAGGGGTGTGGGGGGGTCCAACTGGTTGGTTACACAATATAATTTCGTATTACCAAACTGTCCCACTACCGTCACCCCTGAATTTTATTATTTTAATATATCCAAGACAACATTCCAAGCCTAAAACTTTTGACACACAACGTTTCTAAAAGCCGATGTTCGAGAGTAGATTAGTGTTGGTAAGAGTCATATATTGGCAAATTTTCATGACTATTAGAGCAATATTTTTTTAACAATAAATATCACTTTTATATTAAAATTTTATTAAATACATTCTCTTTTATTAGTGAAAACTGCATACAACTATTTATTGTAGACATTTACTATAGACAATATTTTTTTCAGTTTTTTTTTTAAAAAAAAAGGTTTAAAAGTTATTATAAATTAAAAGTCTATATAAATAACGTTTTCTTGTAATAAATAAACTTGTTTTACTTGTTTTAGACTTCTAAATATTGATTTATTCATCATAAATACTAAAATAAAACCGCCGATGTTGTTTTTTTCTTCTCAGAGAAGGTCCAAACATTATTTAAAGTACTTGGACGCGACAAAACAGATGTAAAGATGATCACGTTTCAAGGATGACATAATTGGGTGGCTGGTTTTTTTAATTGCAGGGGTATTTTGTTCACCGATCATCGTAATTTACTAATAACGTATATGAATTTATATGGAGGACAGTTTTGATTTATTAGACTTATTGTATATTATATTGTGTAACCAACCAGTTGGACCCCCCACACCCCTAGCTAATACGAACAATAATTATAAGATAAATGTTTATAATTGAGAACTCCCTATAACCATTGAATATTTTATATCTGTGTATTAACAACTCTTCGTTTATATTTATTATTTGTAAATATTTCCAATCGAAAGTATCCATTTAGAATACTGGTTTTGGTACGAAATCTCGACAAAATCTCGACAATCCAATATCTTGACAAGTCAAAATCCTGACAATTCAAAATCCCGATAAAATTATAACACATTTAAACTAAATATTACATATTGCAACAAATTATTTTATTAGAACACACATCACAAAATTGTCGATATAATGACTTGTCAGGATTTTTGGATTGTCGAGATTTTGTTATCGATCTTGTGTTAGTCGTGCAAGTGACTGTCCGAGATTTTGATCGGATACCCAGAATACTGTTTTATAAACTTGTTAAACATAATTATTATTGGTACAGCCTCATGATGTCATACAATAAAATCTTAATTTTTAATATTTCTAGCTGTTGCGATTAACTATTTCCTATTATAAAATTAAAAAAGAAAACGTTGCTTCGTACGAGTCGACCTGGATTTATTGCTTTGATCTGGGATGACTCGAATTAGATTTATAATTTTATTATTCATTTTATTATTTATAGCAATTAATTGTAACTACCTCTAATCCTTATTATGACTTCATAATACATTAATAGATGTAAGATCATAAGTTTAAATATAAATACCCTCGATCATTTCCGTTCCGTATCTTTCCGATAATCAGACCCCATGTATAAAGTATCTGTCATTTTCACGTGTTAGCGCATAATGCCGTAATGCGGGCCAAAGTCGCGTGATCGCGAAATATATTTTTCCGGTGTCACTATTTAAATCAAGTAAATCAAGGGATACTTTGTGTGACTTACATTGATACAACGCCGAATTACCTTTTTAGGTAAATTAGCTATTTTCCATATAAATACACAATTTCTTGTATTTTTCCTTAAAAATAAAAATAAATATTCTGACATGGACGAAAAAAATGATATTTGTATTCCATCATATTTAAGGTTCTCCCCAGCTTATAATTATATAAATTCTAATAAAATTAAATTACCAACTAAATTAAATGCCAGTGATTCTTCAAAATGGTTAAAAGTTAGTGAAGATGGATTAACAATTATTTATAGAGGAGGTAAGAAAAATATCTTTTTTTTTTTATTATTTTTTTTACTTTTTGTTTATTTTATTTTAAAAATCAAATAAATTTTAAATTTAACATCAATAGTTCACTTAGATCTTAGATATAGTTATGTTGGTTCTATAAGAGCTAATCATTACGTACCACCTGAAGTTGGGTTATTTTATTATGAAATAAATATAATTGATAAAGGTACGTGTGGGTTAGTATCAATTGTATCAATCAAATTAATATTAATTTTTTTTAAATTCAAATAACCATAATAACATTGTTGTTATTTTAGGATTATCGGACTTGGATTTTGTGAACCAAATATACGATTAGGTACTATGCCAGGTAAATATATTATAATTTCTTTTTTTTTCCTCGTTTAAAATTTATTTAATAAATATCCATTTTTTTTTTATATCAAATAGGATGGGATTATAAATCATATGGATATCATGGGGATGATGGTAAAAAATTTGCATCATCGGGTAAAGGTAGTATCTATGGTCCAACATATACTACCGGTGATACAGTTGGCGTTGGAATTAATTTTTTTAACAATACAATGTTTTTCACTAAGAACGGTATACATTTAGGTAATTAATTTCTTTTCATCAAAATTTATTGTCGTTTTATTATTATTTAGTTCTCGCGTCTAAAGTTTATTTTAAATATAATTATTAGGAACTGCATTTACTCATGTTGAAAGTAGTACTCTATATCCTGTGATCGGTTTGAGAAGTTTAAGAGAATGTGTTTTAGTAAATTTTGGACAAAAGCAATTTATGTTTGATATTGATCAATATATACAAGTAAGTATAAAAAAATAATAATTCGTATAAATATAAATATATTAATTGTGCATAATTAATGTATATAATGATTTTTANATAGACTTTCAGATGATGATGGCCCAGGAATTTTTCTCAAAGGAGTGATATAAACTGGCCAAATGTATATTTTATAAGTAATCCATCCTATACCTGTCTCTTATACACATCTTATATAATGATTTTTATTAAAAAAAAAAAAATATTATTTTATTTTTTTTTTTTTTTTTTTTTTTAGAAAGTTATTAATGAAATATCTGATGAAAAATAGTGAACAAAAGCAAAAATTTTACTTAATTTGGGCATTATTAATTTTAGTAGAAAATTTTAATTTATTTTGTCATGAATTAAAAAAGTAATAAAAGTAATGTATATAATGAAATATTATTTGAATATTTTCATGATCTTATTATAATTAGTGATTCCATTTATATAATGTTATTTGTTTTTTGTTATTTGTTTTTTTTTGTCATTCTCATCATCTTTTCTTCTCCCGATTTAATTTGATTTGAAAAGAAATAATTCTAGATCTTAAGTTTGTGATATAAATGCTTGTTTTTCTTATTTCTTTATCGCTTGTGATACTGATCAAAATCATCAAACCCTTTAATGTCTAGGTAAATCAACGATCAAACTTTATCAATAATATCACTTTATGAATAGAAAGATGATTATCTCACAGAAAATATCATTCAAGTGTTTGAAGAAAACATATACAAAAAATGTACACCAAAAGATTTTAATACGAAATTATGAAATCGTAGAATTTCGATCAGACATCATGATCTTTTTTATTTTATAAGATGTTGGCGTAATAATGCGTCAATTGTTCAGTGAAATGGTTAGTAACATCTTAAATTCACATAATTATCTCCTTTTATTATTTATTTATCTTTATCGGAAAAAAAAAAAAGAAATTATAAGTTAGTAATACAATATACAATGAACATCAACAGTAACGTTTAACACAATTGGTCGAATTTTTTACTTTTATTATTCCTTTTTGTTTATGACATAATAATAATTATATTAATAAAAAAAAAGATAATTACGATGATTACCGTAAGAAATAGACTACGATATGAACGTACTAAATAAATACTATTTTAACTATTTATCTAAAATCAACGTTCACGTTTTTAGATCACTTCAAAAAGAGAATCCAGGAGACTACAGTTTTCAAAAAAAAAAAAAAAAAAAAAAAANTCAAAAAAAAAAAAAAAAGAAACATAGAAAAGAATCAGTAGATTATAGTTGAAAGATGAACGAAAAAATTTTAAAATATTACTGAGATGTCTATTAATACTGCAAATGCAAAAGATTTTTGACTCTTTGCGATATTAACCAACAATCTGCTAATACGGCATGTATGATTTTGAATGTTAACCAGGAGGATGATGCTAGCCGAAGTCTTAGTGACGTCCAACGAATAAAAACTGAATGAATTATTTTGCAAAGTTTTAGAAGTATGACTGTCTTTTTATGCTTATCTCAAAGAACAAATTAAGGAAATGAAACCGAAACTTCGTTAAATGACCTCAGATTAGGGATAGAATAAAATCGAAGTTTTTGAAAGACAGTCGAAAGGAATAATGGAATTGTTACGTAAAAATAGTGATAATAGGGATCTAAAACAGTAGGAAATTATACGCCCTAGTCCTCAAACTTTATACGGTAAAAGATGTATTGTGGCTAGCCATTATATAATGATAAAAGTAAAATAATAAAAACACTCAAAGATGGGACTCTGGAAGAGATTTTTAGAAACGAAACAGCCTTCATATGTCATATGAATTATGATACCAATTACCAATTTTATTTTGTAATCGATCAGTATTAAAAAATCGCTCGATAATCGAGAACTTTGTCCTCAAATGATATAAAGATTTGCACAAAGATCACAAAGATCAAATATTTTTTATTAACATACATACATTGTTAGCAACCGTAACATATATATATATCAGATAACGTTAACTTTAGTAACGAGAAAAAACACCGATTTGAACGTACAAAAATAAAAATATATACTTATTTAACTACCATAACTACAGTAATGTGGGTTGAACGTACAAAAATAAATGTCTATTAATATTCTGATTAATATTAACCAACTATCTACCTTAAATTGACGTTCATATTTCATTTAACAAAATTCTTTTTTTTTTGATTTTGGTCCATTTTTAGAATCGAGCTTGTGTGGCTTGAACCATTGTCTTACCACATCATATTAAAGGGAACAGCATTGACCTGGTATAACTGTCAAGGAATTCTAAAATGTTACGGAGAGTCGGAGTCTTAGACGTTTATTAATAAATATTACACACGCATAAGGTGAACTCCCAATACGTGGTATTAGGTATTAACCAACTATCTGCATTGCGAAGTGTTGTCTTCACTGAAGTATGTTTGATGAATATAAAATTTACGGTAAATGATGTATTATGACTACTTGACCCACAAGGTCAAATTAATTTGAAGTCCAAAACTGGAGAGAATGGTTATTATAAAGACTCCGACAAGAAATTATAAAAGCAACTTCAGTAGTCATTATTAATGATAAAAAGAAAGGGTAATATGATAAAAGGAGTGGAGCATCTACATTTAATGTATTGCTCAGAAAGTTTTTTTTTTTCGAGGAGAAAAAAATTTTTTTTCACTTGGGAAAGTTTTTTTTTCCCCTGGGAAATTTTTTTTTAAAAAAAAAATTTTATGCAGGTTATTACGTACTAAGTGTAATTTGCATACACTTTTGGTAAGATCACGTAACTAAAATGGATGTGCTGCCTAAACCGTCACGACCATGTAATTGGTTGTCTCAGCTACTTGGTTTTTGTCTGACGCTTATTCGTCACCCCTGTAAGTGTATGCATTATCAGGTGCCGCAGATTTGCCATGCGGCTAGAAACATTTCCTCACATATTGTCCGTTTATGATCATATGAAGAATAAAGTTATTGATAAGTATTAACTAAATATTGACTACCAATTTCTCTCCTTCAAGATTTTTATATGGTGACACCCGTAGCAAAAGGGGGAATTGATTTTACGATTTAAGTCATGTGATTAATTTGCAGATTCTCGTTACTTATTATAAAAAAAATGAGTTTTTATGCGTTTTTTGCATTTGAAGTAGTCAACACTTTATAAAATAAAAAGGCAAATAACAATATTAATATATAATATATTATATAAAAATTTTTTTTTAAAAGATTAGGTCACATCACGACTTACATAGCGTCATCTTAAAAAAGAGAAAGAAAGAGAAAAAAGAATATTTCAAATTGTTGCTTGCTTTGACATGTTGTGTTAGTAATTGATCAACCATTAATACTAGAATTGAACATTATAGAGAGCATAATTTACGATAGGGTCAACTTCAGAATTTATTAGTAAATTGGACGATTCTCGCCCAATTCCAAATGTCTACTTAATAAAAGTACAAAATAATCCTCCCCTTTTGCTATGGGTGTTCCATATAAGAAATATTGATAAACTGGACCCATTCGGCATCGCTTCCAAAAAATGGTAGCCTTGGCGGTTCTTTTAGAATCATAGTTAGAATTAGGATTAGGGTTAGGGTAAATATTAGGTTAGGAATTCGTCACATAGTGGCACGCCCAATTTTATATGTAAATTTATTATTGTACTTCAAGAGCGGGCGTATTATGATACTTTCATTACATGGTAAACTTCATCAAACCTTATGTATCTTGTGCAAATCCTCCGCAAAAAGAATTTTCACAAAATCATACAATCGAAAGTAAGTTTTTTACCAATTGATCTTTATTTGTAAAACAAAAATTGAACGAAAATATTCAATAAATTTCAATCTTAACGTTTCCATATTAAAAGTTATTTAATAACGAGAATAATTTACAATAAGAAAAAAATGAATTTAACCAACATAAATATTAATCAGTTAAATGACAGAATAAAGATGAATGATAAAAAAAGTGAAGCATCGATATTGCTTGGAAATGGACATGAGGAGTAGTGAAAAAAGTTATTTTTGTTTTTTCTCTTTGTGTAGAACATGAGAGCAAATGATATTATATTTAATAAAAGTGAACAAATCGATACTATTTGTTATTAATTTAGCCAAGTCTTTTAAAAAACTTGTTGTCACCCGATCACCAACGTTGAGGTGCAGCAACATTGATCAGAGAGGTAAAGGGAAGGAAAAGCGAGAGAGAAGAAAAGCTAAGGTAATGAGCGAGGGAACAAGGGAAAGGAAAAGGGAAAGGAAAGAGGAAGCGAGAGGAAAAGAGCGAGGATAAGGGCCATTAGTAGAATAACATACTACTTTTATATATTTAGTACCGTAGTTATCCTATAAGGAGCTACTTATCCTATTTTCTTACTTGCAAATTTTTTCTATCAAAGAAAAAATTTTCCACGTAATCAAATATTGGAAATGTATGAATTACGTGAACCGATCTACCTAAAAATTTCATCCTCATTAATGTAACATTTAATATAGCGTGACATATCAGATTAATAAAGAAACCAAATTTCAGTTGAAAGAATGGGACTACTATTTGATTTAATTTATCCAATAATAATATTATCAGTTTGATGGGACTGTTCATGCAATTTTTATCACCACTATCCAATAATTTTATTATTACGCGATGAAACCAAAAACAATAAATATGTTAATCTTACAGATTTGGGTTGATACACAATGCAAAACAAAAATCGTAATACTGATTATATAGCCAATATACTAGTTTAAAAGGACATTAAAATGTGATATTTATTATAAAATAAATGACTTATGACATTCTAAATGTCAAACTAATATAAAAACTCTGAAGTATAAAAAATAAAAGCAGATAAAATGATAAAATAAATCAAACAATATATGAATATAAATCATAAATTATAAATATAATTTTGTTAATTTTCAACTTTAGAAACAGATAATCCAAGGTATGGATCAGGCCTATTCACAGGGACAATTTTTCTTTTAATGTGAAATCCTTCAATTGGCCTAAAAACAAAATTCCTAACTAACATACTTAATAATATTTTAAATTCAATCAAAGCTACTTTATTGCCTATACAAGTTCTTGTACCAGTAAGGAAAGGCAAATAGTTCAGATTTGATACATTCTTAATTAAGGAAGGATCCAACCATCTTTTTGGATCAAATTCGGCAGCTGTTGGACCCCAAATTTCAGGCAGTTTATGAAGTGCTTCAATTGCAACTAACACTATAGTATTCTATTTTAAAATAATAATAATAAAAAAAAGGTCAAATTAATAATTTTAAATTTTTTGACAAAAAAATATAAAAATATACCTTTGGAATGTGATATCCCCCCAAAACTTCATCTTTAGTATTAGTTCGACTAGTAGCAGGAACTAAAGTAAAATTACATAGTTGATGAGATGATATAAAAAAGGATTAAAAAAAAAATTAAATTCGTACTTGGAGAATTTAATCTTAAAGTTTCTTTAACTACGCAATTTAAATATTCCAAAGAATTAATTTCATCAAATGTAGGATTGAAATTTGATTTATCAGGAAAAGCTTTAACCAATTCTTCACGCAATAAGTCTTGCTCATTTGGATATTGTGCAAGGAAATATAAAGCCCAACAAGTTGCTGTACTTGTTGTTTCATGTCCTGCTAATAAAAATGTCATAATCTAAAATATTCAAAAAAAAAGTGATTAACGCTGGTAAGATTTGTCACGTTATATTAGATCCGTAGCACCATGGTGACACATTACAAAAGAATCCTCTTTTATTTTACCTGATATTTTAATTCTTCGTCAGTCATTTTCTCTTCAATGGGTAATGTTTTATTGATATTAATTAAAAGAGACAAGAGATCTTTTCCTTTTAATTCTCCATTTTCGGCTTCTTTATATTTTTCTTCAACCAATTTCTTTGATACGCGGTCAATAATTGCACAATTATTTTTAAATTGCCTATTTATATCTATAGGAAGTTCTCTAATGTATGGAATAATATTTGATAAATAACTAATGACAAGCCGTAGAACAGAACTTGGGGCATTCATAAGAGAATCATAAGCTTCTGCTAATTCATTTGAAGACGTTAATGAATTAAATTCGTAATTAAATCCTACAAAAAAAAAAAAAAAATCTTATTATAAACGCGTAGAATGTGTAAACATCAACATTGAAAAATCATTATCTTCTTACCGACTAGGCCAATCACATCTAATGTAGCTTTTGAGATATGAGGAGTAAGGTTAATTTCAGATTCTCCTAAGTTCACTTTATCTTCGATTAAACTTTTTAAAGTAAAAGCTACTTGAATAAATGTTGGAACCATTTCCTAAATTGAATGAACATATTAATTTAATTTAACTAACTTTATATTATATTGCCTAAAATGAATTATAATTACTTTGACGTTATTATGGATGAAAGCCGGGTTCATCATTTTTCTTTGTCTCTTATGATCTTCACCTTCTGTAAATACAAGGCCTCTACCAGCCATTGCAATAGCATCAGCCATCATATGTGGAGGTTTAATAAAATCATAAACGCGATTTAATGTAATGTCTTGAATTATTTTTGTATCTGAGATAAGAAGGGCTGGTTGATTAAATAATCCATGGTATTTTAAAATATTCCCGTATTTTTGTACCCAATTAAGTTGTGCATCCTATATAAAAAGAAAGAAAATGTATAAATAAGAATTATGATTACTGATTTAATAATATTATTATTAACCTCTTGTATCAAAAGTGTTTTAATGTTTCCGAAAAATAGACTTTCAGATGATGATGGCCCAGGAATTTTTCTCAAAGGAGTGATATAAACTGGCCAAATGTATATTTTATAAGTAATCCATCCTATACCTCCTAATACAAAAAAACCAACTAAAGAAATCAAATCAAGCATTTGTTTTTTGTTGTAAAGTTATTAAAACAAATTGAGGGAATAATTTTTAAAAGATGTTGGGAAAAAAAATTTATCGCTAGATACTGTTTATATATGATCGATTTTATTTAGGTTCGGTAGATATAATTGCCGTTTCTTTTTTGCGTTTCTAAAATGAATACACAAAGGAGATATGCATGTGTACATACTAAATAGTAACAAATTTAATTGTTTAACGTTTAATTGGACAGAATGATCGATGATCGACAATGGACTTTCACAAGACTTAATTTAGAATCCTCATGACTGCAATATTTATAGTAAGATTCTAAATATGCTTATTTTTTTTCGATTTTGGAATTTCCATGGAGATATATATATAAAGCCAAGAAAGCCAAGCTTAATAAAATTAATAATAGCTTAATTTTATATTTTAAATCTGCACGCCAGATAAAGTGTACCGTCGTACCGATCAATAAAGTAAATTAATTTTATGATTTGAATTGACTAATAGTACTGCAAATATATACCTAAAGATATTTACGTAACAATACATATATTTATTATGTATGTGAAATGGTTTCTTTGCTTTTCATTTTATTTACTGGACTAATTTAGCATATATTTAAAATATCCTCTGAATTTTGAGCGAGAGCAAAGACTCAAAATTTCGTTTTTATTTGATTTGTTTAATTTGCATTGGTGAACAATATTTGTTATAACTCAAATTATTGCAGTCTAACCGTAATGTTTTTAAAAATCAATAAAAACTTTTCTTTGTTAAATACGTTTCTAAAAATAGATTGTTTTTATTACATTTAAACTAGAGATCACTTTGCATGCATTAAAATTAATGATTGTAACAAATAATTATCAAAAAAATTATGACATAATTTATTGAATTTTGATACCCCTCACGTTGCTTATAATCATTTGTTGATCCAATCCATATGATTATAATAATCTAATCAGCAACATGATTTATGAAGGGATGACAAAATTCTGAAAAGCGCAATAATCGAAAATTCTTTAGCGAAATAGATTTTTTTTCAGGGTCAATTAAAACTCTAATAAGATAGTTAAGGTATAAATAGTGATTTAATATAATAACTAATAGTGCAAACGACAGACAATATACAGTACATGTCCTTTCCATTATCTGGCCATTGAAATTGTCTTCAAAAGTGAGAAAACGTATAATTAAATAACGACTACTGAAATTGCTTTTGCTGAAGCTTCTATTGTTAAGCTCTTGTCAGAATCCTAATAATAATATAAAAATTCAAAAAATATCTTTGTTACTAAAATATAAATAACGCGATCTATATACATACGAGATTAAGTTATTGGGATAATGAAATATTATAAATTTTGAATTACAATTTTAATTGAATTGATCTAGTAAAACTGTATATACATTTTGAAATTTTGAAAGAAACAAACATAATTTCCATCCATTCAATTAGTTAAAAAAAAATGAGGTGCAGATAACGTGCTGTGTTACAATAGCTTTTGTGTTACGAAGTCGCAATGACTGGTTTGATCATTTCATACTAAATTGATCAGTGGCTCGATTTTCATTATTTTTTATAGATTTAGACATTTAGTTTTTTTTTATTAGATAGTTTTTATAATAGTTATTTTACAAGCCGATGGATGATCTATTGGCACAGGACAACTTACCGACAAGTTATCGAACAAATTGTCCGGTGTACAAGTTTTATCCATGGTCAAATTGACGCTTAATCAAATTGTCCACTTGAATTTATATTATAGATATCCCTGAGTGAGAAAGGGAGCTTTTCAAGTTTTTTTTTTTTGTTTTTTCTTTCGAGAGAATTTTTTTTGTGCTTGATAATATTGGGATTTACTAGTGAGACAGTAGTAAAAATTGTATTGATTATCAGAAACCCTCATTTTAAACGCATAAACCATTACCTTTTTGATCGCAAATTATCAACATGAATTGATGGTTGGGAAGAGTGCAAGTCATTTATGAAAATTCTAACATATATATATATAATATTATAGAATTTTTCACATAACAGTATCATGTGATAAAAATTCATTAATGAACTATACTGAAGGTCATTTTGTTATATTTATTCTAACATTTAAATTCGAATTACAAAGCACAAAGGTTTACTATAAATTCATTATATCAAAAAATCATTATAAAAACAAATTTGTACCAGAACTTTATTCCACTATAGCCTATAGGTAAAGGTGAACTGCGTATGAGCCGATATGACTCTACAGGAATCAACGAAAGTTATTCATATTAATATTGACCCAAATAAAAAAAGTGATAGAAAGAAACAGCAATATTACATTATGATGTTATTTATAACGTTGATACTTATTATCATCTCCAATTAAATTGGTTTGCGTGTACAGCGAGATTAATTGAAGAATTATTACAACAATGAAATAGGAACGCTGAGAAATATGGATTAAAATTAGTCGAAGCTTCTCCTAATCCCGATCAATTATTAAAAGAATTTAGATTCTCTACATGGTATGAACGGCAGTATATCAATAATATATAATTATTACATTATTTAGGACTTGCACAATTATCAAAGCATAATTCAAATTTTATATAGCGTCCGTAAGTCTTGGATGGAAATCCGTATACTTTTGCAAGTGATATTACTCTGTGTAGAAGTCTCACGCTGTTAATATTTTATTATGATGAAATTTTAATACCTCGCTTCTTAAAAAAAGTTACTATTACTAATATATACAGTCGACCCCCTCTATAGGCACACTCAGATATAATCACACCCTCCTTATAAGCACATTTACGTTAGCCCCAAGTTACTAATAAACTTATTCACACCATATTTTTTTGGTCCCAAGGGGTGTGCCTATAGAGGGGGTCGACTGTAGTATTAATGATAGCCAAGTGCAACACAATTAACAACTAAAGTCCTATAGTTCAACGGAATAAAATGAAAATTGAGTAATTGTACAGCTGGCCACAATTTATAATTATTAATTAAAGTAGGCACAAAAGCCTGTATATTGAGAAGGTAAAAAAATATTGATATTAACCTAAATAAAACAATATCTTTAAAATAAATATTTTGAGAGGAATTTATATTTACATCTCCAAGCTTTTCTAAAATTTGAGATTTTTCTTGACCTTCTAATAATGCCTGACCTACGAAAAATGTTATAATAAAACAACATGGTGCGAATATAGCTTGATCTAAAGTGACACGCGTTAATAGTCCTTTATAGAAAAAGAAAACAAAATAAATAAATAAATTAGGAATAAAATAATTAATCTTATAATGTAATTTAATTTATTACAAAAAATTTTTAGAAATAATCATCTTTTAAATAATAATGCTTACAGCTATACATAAATCAATCTCGTAGTATATTATAATTGAAGAATTTTAGGAAGGGAGAGTTGAAAAAGTTTAAATCTATATTTAGAATTTGACCCGCCAACCTTCCATATAAGGGTTTTAAATTTGCACGGGATTTGGAGTAATGATTCTCCGACACCAAATTCACCAAATTATTACTATCGGTAATATTGAAACTTTTTTTTTTTGTCAACACGTCATTTTTTTTTAATGATCTTCATATGGGTCCCAACATATCGTTATATCGGAGTGTCAACCATTTTTATTTGGGAATCGGGGAACACGATAAAAATTTGTTACGCGATATACGCGACAATACGCGGCAATTATTGATATCTGATATATTTAGTATGCAGTAATGAGTCATTGCAAAATATTTTCTATTACATAATCTACATAATCTAAAAAAGTTTGTACAACAAAAAAAATACATAAAAAGACCTTACCTCCTTTTTTTTTATTATTTTACTAACTGTATCTCGTTAATTTCTCTAATATATATCCAAATAAATAAATAACGTATCTAACTATTTGAGATGGCCCTGTTTGGATAAATATCTTCGCCCAGGCAGGATTTATATTAATATTAATAAAACATTACTTGACAAAGAATTAAAATATCAGGTAATTAACCTAAAGATTATAATAATTTATTATTAATATTATTTTTAATTCTTTTCTTTCTCCTGTGTGTTAGCAAACAGATATTATGTTTTTTTAAATCTTATCCTGGTGGAGAGCATGTCTATGCTTTGGCTAGTTCGATTCTAGTCTAAGATCTTGATAATCATAATTTAATTTTTTTTTTTTGGAAAATATTAAGAGGCTCTTTAACAAATTTAGGCGAAAATCATTTGGGACTTCAATTTAAATCCACAAAATATATTTATATGATTCCCAGAATAAGTGTACGGTTATTTCGTTTTGTTTATTGAAAATGTACAATATGTAGATCATAATGGTTTGATTGGCGACAATAAGTGACCAATGAATTCACGATTCAAATACTATCCTATTTACATTTCTCACTACTTTAGTAAACCTTGCTGATAATAAGAAATAATTGGTAAAAATTGAAATCTTGTTAAATATTAATTATTGAAGCGTATTAAAAGATGATAGGATCATTGGTTTATTGTCAAATTATGTGCCATTTATCAGAAATATTCCAGTAGATATAAATAAGAAATTTAATAATGCAATTGAAGTTATTGAGCGTGTATCAAAGAAATTGATCAAAGAAAGATATAATGAAGAAGAAAATGGAGAATTAAAAGAAAAGGATTTATTATCTTTATTAATTAATATTAATAAAACATTATCTACTGAAGAAAAAATGACTGACGAAGAATTAAAATATCAACCTAAAGATTACAAAAATTTATTATTAATATTATTATTAAATTACGCATTGAAATATTATTATTTTTGGATATTTTTTTTTTTAGATTATGACTTTTATGGTAGCAGGACACGAAACAACAAGTACAGCAACTTGTTAGGCTTTATATTTACTTACACAACATCCGCATGTGCAAGACTTATTACGTGAAGAATTAGTCAAAGCTGAGAAATTAATTTTTTGGAGTATTTAAATTGCGTAGTTAAGAAACTTTAAGATTAAATCCTCTAGGTATAAATTTAATTCTTAATTTATTTAATTTATTTAGAAAATTAACCTTATTATCTACTAATTTTTTACTTTAGTACCTACTTCAGTTCTATTCGAACTAATATTAAAGATAAAGTTTTTGGGAATTATGTAATTCCGAAGTTGTTAAATTTCAAAATTTTTTAAAATTATCATTACCGTAATTATTATTTAATAATAGGGTACTGTGATAATGACTGCAATTTCAGCGCTTCATAAGTCACCTGAAATTTGGAGCCCAACAGCTGCTGAATTTGATCCAAAAATATGGTTGGATCCTTCGTTAACTAAAAATGTATCAAATTATAATTATTTACTGTACTGTACCTTTCCTTACTGGTACAAGAGCTTGCATAGGCCATAAAGTAGCATTGACTGAATTTAAAACATTATTAAGTATGTTAATTAGGAACTTTGTTTTTCAACCAATTGGAGGATTTCAAATTAAAACAAAAGAACTCTTTCTGTGAAAAGACCTCAACAATATCTTGGATGTAAGTTTTTTTAAATAATTTGGCAATGTGAACTATCTATCTGCTTGCTTTTAAATCTAATCCGTCTTTATAGTCGTAAGTGTAAAAAATAAGCTCGGCAGAAGTTCCTACAAAATTTTTCATCGAAGCTTATATTTAACGTAATAAGGAATTTAATCAAAAATCGTGATCAATTGATTGAAAGATCACGCATAAAATTGATTATAATGACCTGATCGATTACTTAATCGATCGTGCTATTGCTTCTTTCTTTAAAGGAAGTGCTAGGTATCGGAAAAGAATGGCCTCCTCAATGGTTGATTTAATACTCTGGTTGTCGTGCTTTTTCTTACTTATATGACGGTAGTCTTAAATTATAATCTTGTAGGTTAGACAGACGTTATATAATTTACCTTCAATGTGTAATACAATATGATATGTATAATTCAATATTGATGCCTTTAAGAAAATTTGCAATAACGATAACTTTTCATTAAAAATAAAAATAATAATAATCGACCGTGTTTTTCGCAAACAACGTATATTTATTTATTGAGTATTGCTAAATATCACCGCTGGTGATTGTCACCTTACCAGAATTAGGGTAGAATTTTGGGCAGAATTAAAAATGTCATGAAACTCCGCCCATTAATATTTGTTAATGCTGGTGCGGTGAAAATCACCTGCGATGAGATTTAGCAATGCCCTTATTTATTTATTCGTATAAAAATTGTTAATATAAAAATTTTGTAATTATGATACTAATATAAAACTATAAAATAGGCAAAACAATGAAAAGTTAATATGGTACCTACAGTAAATATTATTAAATCGTATTTTATTATCGTTCAATGATCGATATATACTTGATTATATTAAGAACTCTAACTTCGATATACAAAAATATAAAGATGTAGAGAGAGCTAGAAATTTTCTCTATAATCCCAAGCGGTAAAAAAGAAAGATAACACTGAAAAGTTACCAAAACCTAAAGAGAAGCTGAAATTTACAAAAAAAAAAAGAAATCAAGTTAATTGACAAAAAAATATGGAAATATAGTAAAATATTATGAAATGTTTAATCAACCAGCTCTTTTAATCACAGATATAACAATAGTTCAAGATGTTTTAATAAATAATACTTATGATTATGTTAAACCTATGAATATAATATCAGATGCTGTTGCATTTATCGGTAGAGGTCTTGCACTTTCAGAAGGTGAAGATCATAAGAGACAAAGAAAAATGATGAATCCAGCTTTCACTCATAGCAATATTAAGGTAATTAAATATATTTCATTTTGATGAAAATTTAATCTTGAACTAAAGTTAATACAGTCTAACCTCGATATACCGATATTCGATATACCGATATACTATTAAAAACTTAATATACCGATAAAATTTTATTTTCCCACTATATGTGAGGACATATAAATATCGGTATAACTTTGATATAACGATATTTCCTAAAAAATTTCATATATGTCCTGACATATCGTTATATAAAGG